GTTAATTGGGATGGGAGTGTCAGAGACAGTGCGATTGGCACAGGACAGAGCGGAGTTTAGGGCTGTTGTACATAGGGTCGCTATGAGTTGCAGGCGACTCGACGGCACATAACAACAACAACAACATATACTGGCAGGCACTGATCTACATTTTACATATGAGGCCTCATTTGATCCGATCAACTCTACATGGAAGGCACCATGATTGTCTTTATTTTCAAATGAAGAAACCAAGTCACAGAGAAGTTAAGCACTTGTTAATGGTCACATGTTGTCTTTGTGTGCTGTCGAGTTGGAACCAACTCATAGTTGACCCTTCAGCGAGTTTTCAGAGGCCGTAGATCACATGGGAGGAGACTGCCCATCTTTCTCCCATTCAAACTTTGCCAGAGGTAGTTTATACATTTTGTTCCTCTTTTCCCCCCTACCAGATCCCCAAAGACAGCACGCTCAGCTACCACCAGCAACCCTTCCAAGTTCACTGCCAAGTTTGGGGAGTCAGAGAAGTGTCCTCGATGTGGGAAGTCAGTCTATGCTGCTGAGAAGGTCATGGGAGGTGGCAAGGTAAGGGCTTGTGTTTGAGCCGAAAGGGATTTGTTCATCTCCACCCATTAGTAGTCATCAGTCAGAGGCACTGAGAAATGGAAGCAGGAACGGTGGCTGGGTGGGGCCCAGTACCTCATTCTCAGCACCCTGATAGTCACCTTACAAAGCACATCCTCTCCTGCCCTATGGCTGCTATCCTGGAGCACCCTGGAAAGCTAGAACCATTACAATTTGATGCAACAAGGAATAATCTCTAAGATGGGAAGGCATTCAGCAAAAGGATCTAGGCAATCAGTACAGAGGCACCCAAGCTTCTCTTCCCTTCCATAAAGTTTTCATTATTGCACAGGTAAACCTGCTGTTGGCATCAAACCCCTCTCAGCAACAAGCACTGGAACTTACAAACATCCAGGCTGGCTGGAGGATCATCCAGTAGTCAAGACAGTAAGGCAGACTTGCTCTACCAGCTCTGGTTTCAGACCTGAAGCGAGAATTAGGTCCCAAGGACAGAAAGTCTTATTAATGGAAAGGACACAAAGAGTTCCTGATTTCAAAAATAAGAGTGGTCTCAGCATATATAAATTTTTGTTTCTGAGTTTATAAATATAATACTGCAGTGGTTAGTTCACTCAACTTTTTTTTAAAAATGAATTGTATCTTTTTTTTTTTTAAATTGTATCTTTGACAATAATGAAAAACATACTTGACATCGTCACTCCTCTGCTCGGATGGCTGAGGGCTGGGGAGTTGTTAAACCATAGGGTCGCACAATTTGATGGGTGGAGGAGGGGTGGGTGAAGGAAATGGGAAAGATCCAGTGTGAAAAACAATGTATACAAACTTTGTAAATAAATCAGTATTGCAATGAATAAATTATTGAATGTACAAAATAAAAAAATTCATTTGACAATAAACAAAAAAATTCAGTGTTAAAAAACAAAATAGTCTTGAGCCCAAGAGCAATCATTATAGACAAAAGGTAACACCAAAGCTTTGATAGAGAAATCAATGCACAGAAGGGAGGTGCTCCTCCAGACCAAAGCCAGAGAACCCAATTCCTTCAGGAAAATACAGAGAATTCAGACCAAGTTTAATTACTGGGCAATTAAGTTTAATTTTTTTCTAATATAAATGTTACCCATTGATTCAAAACCTCTGTCCAGTTGGTTGCTTATATCTGTTAGGCTTGAAAACGTTTATTCTTAGTTTTATTAAAAAAATATGAGTTTACATATGGAAATCCCAAGGATGAATAGGTGTTTTTTTTGAGACATTCTCAGAGTTGGTGGTCAAGTCCATAGCATTGCACTTTCTCTAAAATGCTAGGGGAAAACAATTATTGTGGGATCTGATTAGGTGAGTGAATGGTTAAGACAGTGAGTTTCCTTTGTATCAGCTGCTCAAGGAAGTTAAAATGGCAATAGACTATGCTACTAGCCCCTCTAATGCATCGTTTTTCTGTGCCCTGCTCAGCCTTGGCACAAGACCTGCTTTCGCTGTGCCATCTGTGGGAAGAGTTTAGAGTCCACAAATGTCACCGACAAAGATGGAGAACTTTATTGCAAAGGTGAGTGCCGGTGCTGGAGACTCAAGATATGTTTTCCTGAGGAGGACCACTGGGGGGGAGGGGTGAAGCTGCCCCAGGTTTAGACATTTACCTGGTAGCTGCCTGGACGTATGGCTGCAAAGCCTGAGCAGGTGTTGACTCTGAGGATGCAGAGCAAAACCATCTGAGGGAAAGAGGTCCCTGGCCTGCCTCAGCTCTGGCCTTCTCCTTTCAAGTCCCTGGGAGAATCAAACATTGGGAGATGCTCAAGCTCAGTGGTCTAGGGAAGCTGGAGTCCTCTGGGAGGAGATGGAGGGGGAAGCACATGTTGATTCTAGCCCTAGAAGAGACATTAAACATGCACAAATGGCACCACCTAAGCCTCCTCTCATCCCCCTGGGTGGCAGGTAGAGTTCACCAGGGAAGATGAACTCAGTTTGGCTTCACATTTATCCTGGCATATATCCCTTTCTCCTTTCCTCCCTCTGACTCTCTTTCCCCCTCCTTTCCTTTCATTTGTTTTGTGGAGTTGGACATCACTGAGGAGTCAGTTGTAGAGGTCTATAGGAAAAGCTGGTTGGACATCACTGAGGAGTCAGTTGTAGAGGTCTATAGGAAAAGCTGGGTTGCCTTCTGATCCTCAGCTCTGCTTCTATATGCCGTTATAGTTCCTTTGTCTTCTGAAGAACAGTAAAGGCTTAACTCCTTCTCTCCATTCCCAAAAGGCAGGTGTGTGCCACAGGCAAGGCCGCATGTTCTCAACCTTGGAGCTTCTCCTCGGTCTACTCCACTGCTCAGTGAGGTTCTCCCACCCTTTCCGTGTGGCTGTGGCACAAGATCTTCAAATATACGTTCAAATGAGATTGGAGGGTTAAAGGGAGAGTGTCTTTATTTAAGACTTTTCTTAGGGAGAAAGATGGGCCTTCTCTCCTGCGTAATTTATAGCCTCAGAAACCTCCAACAGTGTGAGCTCTGGGTGAGTTCCACAGCAGAGTTTTTTAGTAGGATATTAAAGCATTTCCTGTGATGAGAACTTGCCCATTGCCTGACAGGGGTTGCCCTCTGGCAGTAACGAAAGGTCTCAGCATTCATATATGTTGTTGTTGATTGCCTTAGAGTTGAGCACAACTCACAGCAACCATACAAACAAAAAGGCCTGAAGCCTTTCTACAACAATTGGCATTTAGCAAAGTTCACAGAGTTTCTAGAAGCATGTTATTTCAGAATTGGATGCTACTCCTGTTTCCAAACTTATCTTAAACTGGGAGCTCCACCAAACACTGTCCACGATGGGTAATCATGATGGCAATTGCCACCCCAGTGGCACAAGGTTCAGCATCACAGAAACCCCAGGTCCCTAAAAATGTTATGTAGCCTAGAAGAAAGGCAATGGTGGGAACAAATAGGTGCATTTCAGAATGGTAAACGCTATCTAGTAAAGGCACTTACTTTCCTAGTCTGCTCACTCACTGTCACCACGCTGGTCATGACTCACAGTGACCCTTCATCAGGTCTCCAAGGCTATAAATCACAATGGGAGGGGACTGCCCATCGTTGTCCCACTTTCCCAGTAGTGGGTCATACAAAGAGGACACCCTCAGCTTAGAGAGACGCTTCTGAGTCCTCCAGAGTAGGTTTGGGAGCAGGCATTCCAGGAACAGACAGCTTGAACACAAAGGCTCCAAAACTTGGCCATGATGTTTCCTCCCAGGAACTGCAAGCAGCTCTGCATCCTTGGTGTGTGTGGGGGAGGGGGGCAGGAAGCAGTAGGAGAGGAAGCTGGACCCACAAGTAGGGGCAGATTATGTCAACTCAAATGACAAAATATCTGAACACTAAGTAAAATGCAAAACATATTAATTTTTGGTAACTTGTTTACATTTTAGTTGAATTTCATGAGTTCATTTCTGCATAACTTTATCAGAAAAGGACACCCTTAGCAGATCAAAGGCCTGTGACCTAAAACAATAATGCTAACCCTGTTCTTTCTCCCCTCATCTCCCTCCCTTCACAGTTTGCTATGCCAAAAATTTTGGCCCTACAGGCATTGGGTTCGGAGGCCTTACACAACAAGTAGAAAAGAAGGAATGAAGGGAGGTACCGTCTTGCTGGTCTTTCATCTGCCTGCCTGACACATTTGCTAAGCAATCCTGCACTGATGGAAATGTTCCCCCAACATCAGCTCATGTGTAGCTGGACAATGCTTCCTCTTCCCTTTTCCCAAAGTTGGAAGAAAATTATTTAAATTGAATGTGTAACAAAGTGCCTTAATATCTGTGACACCTGGGGTGGGAGAGGCAATAAATATGTATTTTAGGTGTCTCTGGATTTTATTCTTCTGAACAGAGAGAATTATTTTTTAAATGTTGTTGTTGTCATGTGTCGTCGAGTCGCTCGCGACTCATAGCGACCCTATGTACAGCAGCCCTAACCTCTGCTCTGTCCTGTACCAATAGCACCATCTCTGACACTCCCATCCTGATTATCCCAGTCACTGAATCAATCCACCTCATAGAGGCCTTCCCTCCTGTGCTGTCCCTCCACCCTCCCAAGCATGATGTCCCTCTCCA